GGGGGTACCCGACGCGCCAAAACTGGATGCAGACAGTCCCTGCCCAAGTGTCAATAAGTTGACTAGTCCGACATGAGAATGTGTTAGAGCTCAACACACGGGAGGCGATGTCGCTCGCTCTCCATTCATTTCCTATGGAAGTTGTGCTGTGAGGCGACAATCACTTGCCCTCCTTCAGCCAAGTGACTGGCGAAAATAGTGCACGTGAAATTTTGTGCTCTTACAATGTAGACGTGCACACGCAAGCTTGGGATGCGACATATGAAAGTTGAAAAATGTTGAACTTTTGTTGTTGTCGCTTAGCGTACAACCAGTCAGCGAGGGTTTCATTGACTGACCAATGAGCAGAGAGTATGCTACACACTGCAGTTAGCAAACACTTTCACCAAGTGATTACTAAAAAAGGCAGCCTTGTGGGAATTTGTTGGCACCAGGGTGAAGTTATCCGGTAAGTTTTTCCTCATAAAATTGTATCTTAACACGTAACATAGACCAGATAATGATTTTTTCTCAACCCTTCATGATCGGACCTAAATGCATGATTACTGTCTACAACAAGGCAAAGAAGAAAAGACGTACAAGAGGAGGGAAACAGTGATACAGAGGTACAGTAAAAGAAAAAAGTCAATAAGCAACATCTGTACATTTTATTATCAGCTTAGCTGTGAGGAAAAAATACCATCAAATACCGTGAAACAGGTGTAATTGTTGAAAATAACGTGATATAAAATTTGGGTCATACCGCCCAGCCCTAGTGTGTTTGTTTTTTCAATATCATTAGCATCGCAAGATTTGTTTAATTTACACGTTCGTAATGCACACCCCACTTTTTTGTGACCCACCGTTAAGAGGCAGTAGAAGAACCAATCAAATTTCGTGAAGACAAGCGACCTGAGAGCGCGATTCGCAACACTGTAATCACTTTTGCGTCCCGTGTGTCGGGTTTGACCTCGGCTGCGATGACAGGCGTTAATCGCTGTAGTGTGCCGCTCCCCGTGTGTCGAGCCCATTAGAGAGAGGGTGAGGAGCTGTGTCGTCCACATCAAAAGGAGTCAGCTGAGGGGGTTCATCTGATTTGGATGCCTCCTGAACGTTTAGAGGTGTTATGGGCACGCCCCACTGGTAGAGGTTCTAATGGATGACCCAAGACTCACTGGAGGGATTATGTATCATCTCTGACCTGGGAATACCTTGGGGTCCCCAGGACTGGCTGGAAAGGGTCTCTGGATGTCTGGGTCTATTTTGGACCTGTATCATCCACAATCCGACTATGCATGTGTATGTAGGTTGTAAAATATGAAGACTGAGATGGAGAACATATATACAGCGGGTAAAATAAGTATTGAACACGTCACCATGTTTCTCAGTAAATATATTACTAGAGGTGCTAATGACATGAAATTTTCACCAGATGTCGGTAACAACCCAAGTGA